GTTTCCCTTTTTTCAGTGATCACTGTTCTGTGCCACCTATTGTCCAATTTCTGAAAACATTTGTCTTACATGTTTTATTTGTTTTTTAGTTGTTTAAGACAGTAAGATACATCTTTTCCCTTTCACTCTATTGTGGCCAGAAGTCAAGCCCCTCTTGTTTTTGTTTTTGTTTTTTTCCCTCCACTGTGACTATTTTTATCTAGACTTTACTTTAAAATAAAATCATTTTAAATGTTAGACATGCTTTTACTAACAAGAAATTAATAGATAAGAATGTACAACACATGGAAAGAACCTAGGACTAGAATTCTAGAGAACTAGATGATAGATCCATTTTGTCTGTCAAATGAGTCCATGACTGTCTGTGTGAACCAAATGATTTATTTGGTTCCACACAACTCTATCATGAGAACATTTCAAGAGGATTCTAACTCATTGTCAGAGGACAGAGGCTGTAGGAGTGGTACCAGAGTTAGGAAGGGCAGGGACAGCCACAGACTAAAGTGCATGAAGAAGGAATAATGATGATGAGTAGTGAACAAGGCATGTTCTGGAACTGGAGGCCCCAGAAACAGTGGGGAAAGGAAAGGGTTTGAAGAGCTGCTGAGGGAAATACGACATAGGATTGGTTGAACAGGAGGAGTAATTGAAAATCTGCAGATCAAATAGTTCGTTAGGTTTAGCCACTTCACCAGTGCCAACCAGGGAAAACTAAAATTGCATATGACATCAGATAGCTAAAAACTTCTTTAATACAAACTCTAGCAAGTATTTACACTGGCATTTATATGGCTGTTAAACATAACATAATAGTAATAATAACAACAAATTAACTTCTGTGAAAACCCACAGAAACTGGTGTTTATGGGGGAAAACAACAAATAAATTGCTCATGACTTTTTCTAGGTGGTACTCTAAGGACTACAAAATACCACATTCATTTAGAAGATGCTCTTACTGAGGAATTGTGATTAGTTCCACAGGAATCTTATCAATGAGCTATCTGAAATCTCAGAAAACAGGCTTTACTCTTTATAATCTATAAAGAGACTATAAAGTAAAATCTTTTGCCAAGAGTCACAAAATTAATTAGTGTTCAATATAATATTGAAATCCAAGTGATAGGACACTTAATAGCCTCTCAATTACACCAACCTGTTTTGGTGAGCTTTGATTAAAAACTCACATTTTCCACCAGAATCTTCTTTTTATGTGTCACCTTTTTGAACACATTATTAGATAGTTTTGCTCTGTGATGATGGGATAATACAAAACCTGCTTGCTGACTTTGGACTAATTATATAACTTTCTCCTTGTTCTTAGGGTTATTTAACAAACAGAAGTAGCTGACCAAAGTATAATGGAACAGAAGACTTGCTCTTGAATGTTGCTTTTGCACCTTCCTCAAAAGGACTGAGTTCATGAATGAAAAATACAAGCAAAGAATAGAGTGGGAAGCAAAGCTCGGCATGGCACCAACGGCCCTGACACGAGGCCAACACACACCAAAGACCGAGAGGCAAGTTCCTGATCCTGATCGTTCTCCTCTAAGAATATTCAATGACTCATTAAGATACGGTGATATTTTTGGCACTCAAGGAAACCTTTGCATGACATTTTATAAAAAACTGTAACTATCTTTACTGAGTAGGCAGTATATTTGTCTATTTCTATACTCAGATTTGCATCCTGTCCCATATAATTTATATTTGGCTACAATAAGAATGTGCATTAACACGGTGTCACTGGTGTTATCAGTGAAGTGGTTAACAATCTTGGCATTTAAGGGGCTGTAATTACATTTCTAGGTTAACAGTACTATTTCCTGTCCCAGCTCTGGGCCTCTGATCTCCGTGAGGCAAGGTGAATTAGCTTTTCAGTAAAAAAAAAAAAAAGAAAAAGAAAAACTTCATGATTGTAGAGATACCAGTTCTAGTAAAGGGAATAAACTATATTCTAGAGAAATCAGCAGAAATTCGTAGGCCCTTAAGCCTTCCAGAGCTAACTAAGTTCTGTTGCTTCAGGCTTCAATAATTGTATTAAACTGCAATAGATTTGAATTCCTTCTAAATTCTTAAATTTGGGAGGAGTATCTATTCTTATTTTGCTATTGGGAAGGAAAGGAGAAGTATGAAATCATCCCAGCCATATCTAAGGGTATTAGAACGGTGTGAAGGTTCCTATATTTGCTCTGCTCTCTCCGAAGGGCACAAAGAGGAGAGATGATGGCTGGTGGCTAAATGGCTGCTCCATTTTATCTGGAGACCCGCACGCTCTCACTGCTCTATTCCCTTTGGGGGCCGTGTTCCCCTGCTTGAAAGAATATTGCCTGCTCTGCGAGCTAATGATTTGTTTGGAGGATGTAAGTCTCAGAGGTGAAGATAACTGCATAGCTTTTATGATGTATCTTTCAAATCTTTGATCTGCTTTTTTCTAAATACGGGGGACCCCTTTATAGCAAGATTAAAGATGCCTTTTCTGGCAAGAAAGGCAAAATTTGAAAACCTGAAAGCTGCTCAGACCTCCAAATGATATTTCTGTATTTCTTTATTTTGTCAACATTATACTTGGTGTGGTCCTGCATTCATGTGGTAATTGCATGGTAATCAAAATGCAGTATCAGATCACAGAGTTTTTTTCCCTCATATTTTCCAAGGAGGTGGAGAACTATGAATCTTGTTTTAAGAAGTGGCTAGTACAAACTGGTTTATGTCTAGTGCATATATACTCATTTTGAATTCGGATTTGACAAATATTTACTCGTTAGCAAGTGGGTGTTAGACATTGTGCCTTCTTTTATAAGGAATACCAAGAATCAGAACCTGTTTTCAAGAGACTCACACTCTCCATAGGAAGATAAGGCAATAAAAGAAATGATCATGAGATGATGCAAAATAGGACAAATGAAAGTGTTTGGAGAGAAATGAATGACATTCAATGTGGGACAGAGAGAAGTGATAGCAGCCAAGCGAGAGGGGAATTAGGAAAGAGCTCAGCATTTGGGGACCTTGCAGGATCAGTGAGATCAATGAGTGGTGCTGGAGCCAGAAATAAGATGTGGGGTGAGGAGGTGGGTGGCAGGGAGAGGAGATGGTCAAAAAAGGTTGAGAAGCTTGTACTTAATTTGGTGGCGGTAGGGAGCCAATGAGGGTTTTTAAGCAGAGATAATAGGAGTTGTGGTGTAAGAAATATTTTGGAAACATTTTAGAGTAGACTTTAGTGTATTTTGAGCTAAAAATATGTTTCTGTAAATAAGCAAGTGTGTTTGATAATGTCCTATGGGTTTTATTTCCATATAGAACTACCACTAAAAATGTTAAACATACCAACAGTATGAGAACGTTACATTTGAATCTGAAAGATTATTATTTCTTACTTTTATAATGAGGTAGTTCATCCATGTATAGATTTCTAATCTCAATCAAATGAATGAGCAAAAGGATGTACTTTCATAGTATTCTGGAAAATTCAATCTTCTCTACCATGTGAATAACTGAGTTTTTACTCTCAGAATAGTATTTTGAAATCTATTTTTTGTTCTATTCCTGTCCTTTAGAACACAACACATCCTTACAAAAATATGGAGATAAAATGTAAAAAGAATAGAGAAATAGTTTTATAGAGTAAAGTAAAAAAGATTTTTAAAAACAAGACTGTAGCAAATAGATACATGGCTCTGATCAGAAGCTAGTTTTGTATATTTTTTCATTAATTATCATGTGATGGCTAAAGTTTATCCATGATAAATCTGAAAATATGAGTAACTCAACTTACTCTCTACCAAAACTTTTATCAAAGCAAGTATTCTAATATGGGTCATATCTCCTCTACTTTATCTCCTGGGCAGGAAGAGTGAGAAACTAAAGAAAAGGTAACTCAAAACTACAGAACAAACTCCCAAATATATGACAAGGCAACATTATGAAGCAAGCAAAATATTATCCAAAAATGATTAGTTAATAGTTAACCATAGATATTTTGGGGGCACTTGAGCACATTGAAATTCGATAAGCCATGTGTTTCTAAGGACTTCATCTTGTTTTTCTTATTGTAAATGTGGAATGAGGCCTTTCTTATTTCATAACTAGAGGACAGACGGTGGTAAGTGGCATTCTGCTAATGTAAAGGAATCAGCAAACTTCCTTCATGTTCAATTTACTATTATTTACTATTTACTCTATGGAGGAAATAAATTAAAAAAGAGATTATTGTTTTATCTAAAGCAAAAGAAAGTTTCAATTAGGAGTTGCTTATTCACATTACAAAATTTTGCCTAATGATTCCATTTGAGTTATTCCAAAACATTTTACTTTTAAAAGTTTGATTTGCAAATAATTTTGTAACCCAAGGTCTGTCATAGGCAGTACACTTTAAAAGTAAAAAAAAAAAAAAAATCCTAATCTAAAATTCTTAACAAGTTGAAACACAAAGCTGACCCTCACCTACCTAGTTATTTGTTTTTAATTGAGTATTTTGACTAATTATGAGAAAATGTATATAGGAAAACAGTGGCATTGAATGAAATTACTATCTAAATTAATATTCAAATTGGAATTGAGAAAAAATAGGAAAATTTACTGCCATCAGAAAAGTAAGAGTATAATACCAATTTGTGTCTCTGAACACTCGCTCTTGTCAGTAAGGCACAACACTGAACATTTTTTAAAAACAAAGTTATTTTACATTCCTTACTGCTGATCAGTACTTACTGTTGAATGTTGAAGATAACTGAAATAAAAAAACAGCGTGAGAATGGCAATTTATGAAGTTGAAGGCGTCATTACCACAATTTTATGCTTTCCTTAAAAACTGAAGGTACGATATAGCACAAAAGTACATCCACTCTTCATGTAGCAATGAGTAAATAAAATTAAAATTACCCATACAATTAAAATCACCAATGATTGAATAAACTTTTACAATGAAAAGGACTTGGCCATTAAGAATGATACAAAAACTAAAGTTTTTTTAAAAAAAAAAAAAAACAATTAATGCCTTACCAATAATGGGATCAGGCACGATGCCACTTCTGCTCTCCTTCCATGACAGCAGGTAGTCAAGGCTGGTGAGATCTGCAGATTCTATATAATGGTTCACTGTCAGCATCATCTGATGAGCTTTTGCTATTCCATAGTGCACTTTTGCTTCTTCCAGGAGAGGCATGTTTGTTAGCTCTGCTGTTGTGTCAAAGGCTTGCTGAAAGTATTCCGAAGCTTTACTGTAGTATCCCTACAAATAGAAGAGAAGTGATTTTTTTTTCTCGGTTGGTTTTACCATTCCACCTCTCTTCCCACCTTGGCAAGTACCACATTGTTCTTTCAACAGTTAGAGCAGTTCATCCTCAAGGAGGAAGTGATGGCAAGCAGGGTCTCTGTTAGAATACAGTTCTTTTTATGCGTGTGATGACTAACAGTGCAATTCTTGAAGTTAACTCATTAACAAAGCTGTTTCTTTCAGGTTGAACTGTGTGAAATGTAAGTTTTGGGGAAAAAATGTTCAAATATCAGAATTTTTTCATTTGGTTCAACCAAAAAGAAGTTTGGGAAGCGTGACCAGATTGACACTGATTTGGATGGATTTTCTTACTTGTAGCATTGAATTTACTTAATGAAATATTTTTAACCAGCTTTAATTTTTAATCACAATGAGGTCATTTTCACCCAACCAATTTAATCCAATATAGATGTATATGTCCACCGAATTAGTTGTTAGTCTTGTTTCCCTACACGCACATGCCATTCTTGACTAAGAATGTGGACATAAGATATTTTTTAAAAATATGATCCTGATAGGACCAATGCACCTCAAATGATCATTTAAACTATCTCTTTTCCAAGTTCTTTGCAACATTTTAAGTTATAACTATAAAGATAACTATAAAATCATTCCAATTTGATTCAAACTCTACCTCCTTTAAATAAAGAGGCCAAATAATTCTGAAATCATCAAAATCAATTACATGGCACATAAAAGCCTGCAGCGGTTAAGAGTATGGGTTTGAATACCATGGCTACCTAGAGGCTTGGAGACCTGGGGTAGGGAGGTCACTTAAGCCCCCCGAGCCTCTGGAAAAGGGGAACGGCAGGGTACCGTGGAAGCGTTGAGAGAATAATGACAGCTGCCCCTTACACAGATGGCATTTACTCCACCGCCAGGCCCTATTCTACGTGCTTTATGTATATATTCACTCAATACTCACAAGAACCTTATGAGGTGGGGAAACTGAGGTGCCTAGCAGGTGCTTAACTTGTCCCAGGCCACAGATTTTATAAGCAAAAGAGTTGGGTTTTTAACCAAGCGGTTTGGTCTCAGAGTTGGTACTTTTAATCATTACATAAATATCCTCTAAAACAAGATTAATTAGTATAAACACAATTTGAGAATATAACTACCCTCAAAAAGGATAGATCTTCCTTGTGACCCAAAAAGCAATTTTAACTAGAGAAACAAGCCTCTTTCATACCATTTGTAAGAGAGAATCTCTGTACTAAGACCAAATAAGGAGAAAATAAGTAAAAAATCTGTCATGGCCAATGCATTGAGAGACATTTATTTTAGACGCTTTTCTCTTTCTCGTTTCTTTCACATGACCAGTCTCTTCCTAGAATTACATATTTCCTTCAGAATTGCTTTTGGGACTGTCCTTTCTTCTCCTGATGGACCTAGCAGGGGCTTCACAGCTGGAAACAAGGGTTTGGAGCAAGAGAGATGCATGTGTTGGCAGATACCAGCCAATTGTTATGATGCAGTCCCTTTGAATTTAAATATTTTAACTGCTCTTGAAATAGGAAGTTACTGAGGCCCGGCATTGGCTTTGAAGATGTGAATCAGTGTCAGCAGCTTGTGGTGACTGGGCTCAACATGGCTCTAGGGTCCTGGAAGAAGAGGAAGAAAGAGGTGTGTCTCTTCCCAGCCGACTCCCTGTGCGTCAACTGAGTCCTGCGGTCTGGGGGCCATTCTGCTAACAGATTAGGGGAAAGTGAGGATCAAATGGAAATGGAATTTTAAAGCTACAATTTTTTCCCCATAAGCAAGAAACACGTACACTCACCTTTTCATTGTAGATATCGCCAAGCATTGTACTTGCTTTCACAACATCAAGACTTTGAAAATTGTTTCTTGCAATTTTCACAAATTCTTTCAAGTATTTAATTGCTTCTGTCATATTTCTTTGGCTAGAACAAATAAAATAGGAAGCTATTGGGACATCATTTCACTTAACATCACAATGAAGAAAAGATAGTATGTGTCTTTGCTTTAGAAAGTGCAAAATGGTTATCAGGATAATGAAAGCTGAACAAAATTAAAAATTTAAAGTGAAAATATTAAAAATGAAAATATTAAAACAAATTTAAAAGTAAAAATATTAAAAATTACAAATATATGTGATTTGATTTTGTTAGAGTATATAGTATGTTAAAATTTAAACCTTCAAATCCCCATGATTGCTGGTGGAAATGTAAACTGCAACAGATGTTTTGGAAAACAACTTTCAGTCCTCAGAAGCTTTAACACAGGGGTATCACATGACCCAGCTACTCCACTCCTCCACATGTACCCAAGAGAAATGAAGACATGTCCGCACAAAGACTTGTACATGAATGTTCATAGCAACATTGTTCTTCATAGCCAAGAAGTGGAAATAACCCAAATGTCTGTCATTTGATGAGTGGATAAGCAAAATGTGGTTATGTATATCCATAATATCCATAATATTCCTTTTTAAAAGAAATGAAGTACTGATATACACTGTAATACGGATAAACCTTGAAAACATGCTAAATTAAAGAAGCCACTCACAAATAACCACATATTGTATAATTACATTTACATGAAATGTCCAGAATAGGCAAATCCATAGAGACAGAAAGTAGGTTAGTGCTTACCAGAGGCTGGGGTGAGGCAGGGAAGGGAATGGCTGCTAAAGGGTATGGGGTTTCTTTTCAGGGTGATGAAAATGATCTTAAATTAAATAGTGGTAATAGGTGCACAAATCTGTAGATATACTGAAAACTACTGAACTAAACCTGTAAAAGGGCGAATTATGTGATATATGAATTATATCTTAATAAAGCTGTTACTTTTTAAGTAAAACCTTTTACAAGTTTATGAAAGGTGAATGGTAGTTTGTTTTTGTAAGTGTCCCTCAGCAGTGAAGTCTCAGGCATCACCAAAGTTACCCATACAAGTGTTACACATACTGACAAAATGCTCAGAAAGACATCATTTCCAGCAGACTGCTTGGTATATACTAGGCGTTCATTTATTTTTGAACGAAGAAATGGTAAAAGTTTGGGATGGGAAACACTTATGCAGTACACATACAAGTCAAGCTCCCAGGTAAATCCTGAGAACCTCAGTCATTGGACGTTTGAAGTTCTTGACTGTAACCTCCTGTCTTCTGGATATTTCAGGACATCAAGAAACCTTTCAGAGACTCTCAAATGCCCTAGTACCCTACTTTCTAGGGAATATTGTTCCTGTTCTTAAAAAGTTTCACTGTCAATTTGAAGAGATAAATCTATAAATTCATAATGTGGGATTTACTGTGATGGACATATATAAATAGTATATAGTACTTGGAAACTTAGAGCACATTCCTTCCAATATCCTCCCTGCAAGAACAAGTCTAGAGTTTGTAGCATAAATTTGATCTTAAAAGACAGATTTGTGGATTTGGATTTGGATCCCTAAGGATTTGGAGCTAAATCTAGGGAATGGAATGGTGAACTCAAAGCACCTTTATACATTTGAAAAACTGTAGTATGTATTGCGGGAGACATGTTTGAATTTTGAACTGCATCAAATATTTAGTGTGTTTATATGTTCTTAGGTTCCTTGCTCTAATCTCGCTCGTCTTCTTCCTGTGCCCTGACCCAGGTCTTCAATGCATAGATTGGGAGTCCCTGTTGTGAACCATCCCATATTGCTCCACATGTCTCTCCTTCTCTAGTGCCCAGAACTTTGAGCCGATCTCTGTTTTCTCATTTGTCTTGTATCTTCATCTCCCCAGATATCTCACTGACATTGGAGTCTCTGCCCATCCACAGGTTGGCTCTTTCTAGAGTTCTGTCCAATCTGTCCTCTCCCCTCCACTAAATGCTTACTATGGGCAATTTCATATAGTGCTATGGTGTGCCCTGACTCCTATATGCACATGTATGGCAAATCTATATTTCTAGCCCTGATTTTCCCTCTGTGTTGTACATTCATATTTCCAATTGTTCAGACTTACTAAGCATACAAAAGAAGATAGTTTCCTCCAAGTGATTATCTTCAAAGATGTCACCTAATGATGAAGCTGATGGCATTATGAGGATTCTCTTTCAGAAACATCTTCATAGTGTTGTGTTATTATAAAGCATTCATAAGTAATTTAATAATTTTTGTTCCAAAAATGGGGTTATCCCTAGAGATTGTGTGTGTGTATGCTTTTTTCCCCCCTAAATATGACTCTAAATGCATTGGCTGTTTGCAAAAATCAAACCCACCTCTCAAACAATGATGTTCCTCTTTAGGGATCATTCAAAAGAATATTCCACAAGCTCAGAAAGTGTTTCAAAAGACTGTTAATTTTAAACAGGTGGTGGCAGGATTAGAGGTATCAACTTGCATAACTTCCCAAGATTTGACGATGACAACATTCATTTTCACAGGTAAGCTGTGGTATGTTTGTAAAAATAAGGTACATTGATTTATAGTTATAGTGCATTATGGTGGATATTAGAAAGATCTAGGCTTGAATCTCAGCTTGGCTTTTTAATTGAATAACTTTGAACACATCTTCACTCTTTCTCAGCTTCAGTTTTCTCATTTTAAAAATGGCCACAAAGTGTGAGATGAAAAATTACATATATGCATAGCCTGGCACATAGTAGAGATTCATTAATTGACAGCTAGTGTTATTATTGCTTCTCAGTGAAGTAAAAAGCTATTATGCCCATAGCTCTCTACTTGGTAGAATTTACCACCAGCTGAGAAGAGTCAAATTAGCTAAGCAGTACTTTTTGAAAATCTTTCATTAGGCAATGAATGAAACACCATGATTTGAACGGACACTCTCCAAGACAGAGAGGTAAATGAAATTCTGGTGTCTATTTTCTAGGGGGCAGGGTCAAAGAACTAACACTGTTTGTTTACTTGAGTATCAGGTCCTATCAAATGCATTCTTTTTTTCTTTCTTATTGGTAAAAGAATGGTCTACATATCAGAAATAGAATGAAATTTTACATTCCCAAAGTTAATATTGCTTTTTATGGTTCTATTTGCACTTTTTCATAACAAAATTATGAATAATCCTCTTCCAGTTTTAGGCTTAGCTCAATTCTCCAGAAAAAGATTTTGAATTGTTTGAGGAATACTTCATGGAATAAAATACCATAAGGGCTGCACTTACTACTTGAATTTAAACATTTGCTTTGTGGAATAACTAAAATGGTATTGAGAGCTCAAGAGTATGAAAATAAAAATATTAATAACACTACTTAGAATTTTGAGCAAACTTGTATGTTTCTAGGACTAAAATATTTTATCAAATTGTTGTCAACTCTCCAAGCACTTTCTTGGATTATAATATTCAAGCAAAAAATGATAACATAAGAAAAAAGTAGAGACTTCTTTGCATATCACTTTAAAAACTTAAGAAAAATATTATTTTTATTTAGCTAAAATGGGCTCACTGAAGCTTATTTATGTTCATGTTCCTAAAAGCTGATATATTTTTGATGGAAATACATTTTGGATTAAGTCTGGCCTGCTGAGGATTGTTAAATCACAACATATACAAAAAAGAAACAACCCACTAAACAAAAAAACAAGTTCAGTGAATAAGAAATACAAAATAGTATAAATAAAACTATTGCTGGGTGAGTCGAGTGGTTTTTCTCCCAGAGGAGCAACAGATCTCCAAAACATCTAAAAGTATCTGGAACTTGTTCTAACAAATAATGCTACAGGAAAAGTCTTTCCATTATAAATTATATGCTGCACTCAATGAATGCACAGCTCTATAGCCAGCAAAGCTGTTAACACGGAATCTGAAATATAAACATTATATGTTGCTTTAAGGATTTCTAAATTTAAAATTTATCCATAGATGTAGAAGCTAGCCTTTCTTTAGAAGGTAAAGAACCAAATATTTCTCTCACAGAAAAGCTACAGATTATCTGAATGAGTTAAAGGACAAGGTTAAAATGTTAAACAAATATTAATTCCAGTTTTCTATATGCAGTGCACAGGTGCAACTTGAACAGCATATTATATGGTATAATCATTAAATTCATTCAGCCAGACCTTAGAGAGTTAAAAACATATATTCTGAGGAACAGGACTCCTCGGTCCAAAGAATGAGAATGAAACAGTGCAGAATATTTGTGTATCAAGGTGATTCCAGTTTCCAGCTGGGAACACGGGATGGTTAACACCCACATCCCCTGACAACTGTCCAATTATGTATATCACACTTGGCCTACTGTTTGCAGTAGAAGTAATCAATAAAGGATGTGGTTGAGTGAACATAGATTTTGGTTGAACCAATGCATGAAAACTTAATCATTTACTCAGAGAGAAGAAATCAAATAGAGCAGAGATGAAGCAGCCACTCAGGGGCTTGTTGATTGTGCCACCAAGTTTGTAGGCCACAGATGAAAATAATAAGGCAAATGGAATCAGTGACAGGAGAAAATGTAAAAAGCTATTCTTAATTTCATGAATTAATAGAAATGTTTTGATGTATTTTGGGGGGTCATTTTTTTAGGAGATCTCGCATCAAAGCCTGGATGTTCCACTTTAAAGAATATATGAAAATTACTAGGGCATGTCATTTCTCTCAAGCAAGAAGAAATTAATTTTCAGCTATAACAGAAAGGTAATTTTCACACTTGAAACTTTTTACTGATTGATTTAAAATGTCCACTGTGGAAAGTTTTCTAAGAAAGAACCTGGGTTTACATGAAAATTTATCATTGGTATGGCATAAACCCAAGCTAATTGAGAACAAGATGTCTTGAGCAACTCTCATTTTTGTAATTTAATTTTTTTTCCACTATAAAAGCCATTCTATTTATGTTGGAGAGCTCTGCCATTTTGGTAAATGAATTATTTCAGGACATGAGGCAAAAAAAATGCTGTAAGAAAAATTGAGGTGATTTCCTCCCCACTCTATACTTACTCAAATTATCTGTCTACATATAATAATAATATTTACTTGGTAATTTCTTTCAACTCATTTTCTCTTTGTTTTATGGACTATAGTTCTGTCTTTTGTAGCTGTGTCATGGGCAATAGTTATTATTTTAGAATATTGACCCTTTTTCACTACTATTCCAAGTAGGAAAAAAAGACATTGCAAATGCTTATTTTCTCTTATGCTGCTTAATATTATTCAAACCAATAGCAAAAATAACAAACCCTGTTCACTGCAGAAACCTCCGTCGATAACCCTCAGGCCAGGGAGAGTTCTGGCTTTATCAGATGAGCAACTCTGTACTACTAGGTCCTTCCGTTTTTCAATGGAAGCCACAGTATAAATTCTTATAACCATTTTAGAAGCTTCCAGCCTTAAAGCTTATTCACCTTTCATGCATGTTCAGCTGACGGCCTTAGACACACACTTATCCTAGACGTGGCTGTCCCTTTCATTTCCTTTAAAGAGATAAAATATGTTTATAGAGATAGGGCTTACCATTAGTGAAACGTGTGCCATTGCACAGGCTGAGAAAAAGATTTAGAGGTGATGCTAAGCTTCCCATGCAGCTTGATTTACTTCTCAGCCGACACCACCATAATTTCCTTTATTTTGGTTATGCTCCATTTCTCCTAATCTGAGGACCACTTAGGACTATGAAAGGGATACATATATGTGTCTATGTGTATGGGCATGTGCGCATGGGTCAAAAAAATGCCAAGCCCTCGAAGCAAATTTTTTTAAAATGACCACAAAATTCATATCAAAGCATTCCTAATAAGCAGTGGACTTGATTGAATATGGCTTCTTAGATATCTTAGGTGCTGTTGTCTTCCTGTAAAGGATGTTTTTTTGAAACCTCTGTTCACCTCTTGAGTTATTCTGCTCGAATGGTGAGAGAATATGCCAAGGCGCACACCTGCCGCATATCTGTCCCCCATGCCCAGCAAGGACTGGCAAGCTTCCTGTGGCCTCAGAGCACTTTCCCTGAAGGCCCCAGAAGAAGCAGCTCCTGTGTTCTTGTGCACTGCAGAACACTATAAAATTAAAACCCCACGTCTCCCATGTAAGTCACTGACGGCTTCATTTGCAATTTAGTAGATGAGGATTTTTATAAGTGGAATTCATTTCATTTGGTATAAAAGTGAGATAGGGATAAATCTTCTTGTCTATTTTATGTCAGCCCCAAGGCAGGCTGCTAGACTGAGAATGCTGGGATAGAAGTGTCCCTATGACTACCCAAAACACACCCTACTTCATGATACATCAGAGATAACGGGATCTTTTTCTATACCTGAACCTCGAGTAATACTTAAGCAGCCAAATCAAAACATTAGGTTTTCTCTTGTTGTTATTGCCAATATTTACCAGTAATTGTTCAACTCTCCCTTAACTTTTACTGTATAGACCAAGAATTCAAGTCCTGAAGTGAAGATACTAAAATATTCCAGATGAAACACCAAGTTAAAAGGTGAGAATTATTTTAAGGTAACCACAGATCTCTAGAAGTTTCAAAAATAATTATATTTTTGTAACCAAAGGGGCATTGCAACACTTTTCTGGTCCTACTGCAACATAGTTAAGTTCTCAATATGTTTTATAAGGGAAAATATTTTTCCCTGGAATTTTATCTCTTTAGTTAGGTTGGGACACAATGTCATTTTGTAAAAATTACTTTATGCACACGCTAAGGGATGCATTTATTTAACTGTACAGACTCAGGTCAGGTCTGCTGCTGAAGAGCAAGACAAATAATCCAACCATTTTTTACTGATTCGGGGCAGTGCTAACACTAGAGTCAAGTAATTAAAAAAATCAAAATGAGCTGGGCAAAAGGGCACAAAGTGTGTGTGTTCCAAATAGACAGTAAGTGAAATACAGATTTCTTCTTTGTATTCAAACGTTCGCTTCTTTCCACTTGTTATTTGCAAAGTAAAAGTGTAAGGGAAACCTGGGCTGATCCTCCATGGGTTAGTCACCGACCTTTGTTTGGAGTGACCGCAGCACTCACGCACTCTGCCTCCCTTGAGCAAACATTCATTCTCTCCTTATAAATATGTCCATGTCCCTAACCACTTCTCTAGTGACATCTGCTTTGCATTTTATTTGGTATTTTGTAGGGCATCTTTCATTTCATTGGCACTGGAGTTTAATATGTCATTAATTATTTATTTAATGATTATGACAAAAGGGGGCCCCCAAAATAGAATTATCTTCTGGAGGGTGGGCCCCTTGTAGGACAGGCTTCCTCCGCTAGGTGAGTGTCCTAGGAACCCGTCTATATCAGTGAACCACCTGGCATTGTCGTGAGAGGCTGGGTCTGGCTTCAGCGAATATTTTTTTGGAGACTCTTTCAACATATTTGCCCATTTCATGGTGCGTGATTTCGAGTGCACCTACCCACAGGTTCTCCCCGCATATATTGACAATGGCAACAATGATCTACTTTTACTTCACTAGGCATGTTAATGCTTTAAATGCCTTTCAAATAACAATTTTATCTTTTAAAACCCTGCCCTGTATATATTTACAAGTGAAATAAAAATGGGAAGAAATTAGAACTTGACACAATCTATATCTATTATTATTATTATTATTATTATTTCTACTACCATTACTAAAAAGCTACATACTATATATAAGATAACTCCCAGAAACCAAAGGCCTTAACTTTGAGATCTTTCCTTATTCTTAGACTATCTTGGCTTGAATTATAATGCTAATAATGCTGTAAGACAGTGCAATGATTAATGTAGTATACAACGAAGACAATACAATGAACGAAGGGCCGATCATATATTTTCCACGGAAAAATCTGAATCAGAAATTTTTCCCGTATACTTTTCTTAAATTTTCGGTTTTAAGTGAAATTTTAGAAATAGTGTTTTTGCACCCAATTGTTTCTCCAGCTACGCTTAAAGGAGAGATGTCTTAATGGAAGCAGCATGACTGGAGCATAAATGGAAAGTTCCTTCAAAGACGCGATCTGGAAAGGCTATGCTGAGCCACAGTTACTGAAGCATACTGCCCATTTCTGTGCTCTCTGCTTTTGTAACCTATGAGAGGTGACCTGATTTTTTTCCCCTTTCATTCAAGGTCATCAGTAAACTTACAGAAAATCAAAAACAAAATAATACAAAGGAGCAACAGATAAAGGAGAATTTAGGGGCATATTTAAAAATACCGCATTCATTTAAAATAACTTACGATGAAAGGGTCACTTCAGAAGGGCACTGCTTGAAATTTAAGCAGGCAGTAATGGAAAGCGACAGACCTCAAACAATTTAAGTCTTTCACAGCTGAGTGAATTCACAGTGACAGGAAGACAAGGATGTGCTAACTTACCTCTGCAGGACCTTGGCTATTGCTTCGTAGGCTCTCGCCAGGCTGAGATCATCGTCCAGCTCCGTGGAGACTTTGCTGTAAGCGCCGAGGACCTATCAGGAAGAGAGATACCTATTAAACAGAGAGCTTGGCCAGACTCACTGATGCTGCATTTCATAACAGAAAAGATTAAAATTAATAGTTGCGTTTAATGTCTCCATAAAGTATTTTTTGTTTATTAAAAATTCATGTTGGGTTGGTTTATTTTTATCTATAGTATAACTTGTTTCACAGCAACCTCTTCAAGCCACGACCGTGAGGTCTTACTTTTGTGGAAATAATTCTTTTCCTGCACAATCCAAAAATCTTCCAATTTATATAACTTAGGTGTGAATAAATAATTGAATGGCTTGCAACATTATTTTAAAATATGGGACTATTACCTAGGTAATAGAAAGCAGATTATAATATTCTACTATGGTAGCTTAAATATCACTTTTCTTTCTATAAATAGCTGTTTGAAAAGCATGAATAGAGGTGCCAGGCAATTTCTAAATCTATCATTTTATTAGATGCATATCTCACAGTTTGTACATGTATTCAGTATACACTAAAAATATTTCTTACAAATGTACTTCATTACCAGCAATCTCTTCAATAATCAAAAGATTATGGCTGCCACAGTCAAATGCACGATATTAATTTAATTTAACACTGACATCATCTATGTGATATAATTTTCTGTTTTATTCTTTTTCCTTTTCAATGGCCAGGAGGAAAAATACGTAAAGCAAAATCCCCATTCTTTCTTCTTCCTTTATTGTTACTTGATCCAACCTATTACACACATGAGGACACAGGAAATCTCCAAAGACCTCTATGCAAATCCTTTTTGCACATTTTCTAAGACAGAATTGGTGAACGTCATTTGACAGCGCTGGGAGAGAGTCAGCGTGAGGAAGGGCATAAATATGAGCCGAGGGCCACGTCCTGGCCTCGGCAGCTCAGAGGGTTTGGTATGAGGGGCAGTGTTCACATTCGTTTTTAGTTTCTAAAAGTTAATGCTTGGGAAATAATTTCAATAAGGCCACTGTGACACCTCGTAGATTTTGGGTTTGGTATGGTTACCAAATGAGTGCTCGGCACATACTGATATTAAACTTCCTCACTGACACACACTGACCCAGTGTTTTAACTCCCATGAAAGCTGCCAAGTTCAAATTTTTAATTCTTATTTTTAAGGCTTTTAATAATCCTTCTATAAACCTGAGAATATTCTTCTTACTTGGTCTTGCATAACTGATAACACCTAGATTTAGTCAGATGTCACTTGACATAGACCTTTCTAAGTTAAGGGGCAAAACCCCTGAATTTTGTGAATGTATGAGAGGCTTTACCGAATCCAAATATAAAAGTTTAGGAAGAGCCTTTCTAGTATCTTTTTTGGCTTATCTATTTTATATGACATTCTGGAACTTTAAGATTGGATATTATATTTTTGTGCCCAAAATAGCTTGTTTTCGGCAAATATTGTTACTGTGTGCCAGGTGCTACGTCAGACCCTAGGAAAGCTTCCGTGGAAGAGAAGGCCTGCGGCCCTCAAGGCCTTGCCGCGGTACAGGCCGCCGACGGGCGTCGCTGTGCGAACCAGCGGTGGCCGGAGGCAGGCGTCTGCGCGGCTCCCAGGGTGCTCACCCTGCGCCACTCGCCCGTGGCCCTGGCCGCCACGGGCCCTGGAGAAGTACAGCGACACGCAGGATTTTATCTTAGCGGTGTGACTCCTGCGCCCGAGGATCAGAGGGTAGTAACGGCAAGGCAGGCGTGCCAGAGCCGAGGCTCCTGCGCCACACCGGCGTGCCGAGCGGCCGGGGAGCCCCGGGCCGGGGAGCCCGCCCCTCTGAGGGCTGGCGTGGGCTGCAGACCTGGTTCTACACGAGCTCCCTCGGAGAGCCGGCTGTGGGATGAGCACTAATCTTACAGTGGGAAGACTTGGTTTCCAGGCCCAGTTCTTTCATGCCCTATCCATTCGGGCCAGGAAGGCTCCGTAAATTTAATGTCCTCAGATGTAAAAAAAAAAAAAAGAAAAAGAGAAGCCACTTCTGAGAGGCCACCATAAGACAACACAGAGTGCTCCGCAAGCCGGAGGACAGGGCGTCTCTGGGACTCTGCTCACCAGCCATCACTGAACGGCTGCTGGTGTGCGTTTCCCCCTCAAGATGAAGACACACATTTTATTCGTGGCTTGAGGAAGTTCCTGCATCTCCTTTACCACCAACAGGACCTACACACGCAGTGGGAAGAGTATAGGACAGTCCTGGTCCACCAGGGAAACAGTCAGTGACAGGAAATCCACGTGGAGGGCCCTGGTCAGAGGAGCCCGTCGGAACCAAAGCCCGGGCCCCGTTCCTCGCGGGGTGAGCACTGCCGAGGGGGATCAGCCCAGGCCGGTGAGAGCGTAAGGAGACTTCAGGGCAAACCCGGCAGACGGCCGGCCGAATGATGTAGTTCCGCCGGCGAGGAGTAGAAAGGACATTGTTAAAACAAAAACAAAGAACCCCATACAAGGAAGTGAAAAAATAACGGAAGATTATGAATTCTGTAGGAACAAAAAAGATGTCTTATAGTAATCTTGGAGTAAGCAAACTTAAATGTGTTTTAAAGTTGACAAAGTATAATTTAATGTTTAATAAATATTAATCAATTAGAGCCCTTTGACAAAGACTGGAAACTTTTTTCAAAGAGTACTTCAAGTGAGGAAACGCAGTGTGGAATCTGAGGGACCCAGACCGGACTTGATTGACTATCCTGGTGGCATGCCATGTGCTGGAAACAAGTCCAGCCTCTGGGAGGTTAAAATCTAGCATCACCAACTGAAGAAGAGAGAATAAAGAATCTCAGGAACAAAATATTTTGATAAATTGAAAATGTATTATATATCTTTCAATTTTATGTGTACTGAACCTAATCAACCTTGGTCAAAAGATAGAGGGGAAAAAAACACTGATGAAGCACGCCCCTATGTAAATGTCAATGAATGCCAAACTGTGCATGACAAGGAGGTTACGGAAGCTGGAAAAGTCAGGCACACACCTAATAAAATATGAGAGCTCCAGAGCCACTCAATCCAACTGCTCCCATGATTTCAGGGAATAATGGAGATGAAGGTTTGAAAATGATTTCGCTGGAAGTTTTAAAGGCAACGGACTCTGTCTTCCCACTAGAATAAAACATATTTACTTGGAAAGACATTTTCAAATAAAATCCAAGTTCTTAAAATGAAATAATTTCTATCCATCACCTAAAAAACAAAATTAATGGAATACTTAGCATAAAAATGAGAATGTACAAAAGAATAATGTGGGCAGTATGCTACGCAGTCCTTGAAAAATTCTATGTTGTAAAAATCAGATTTTAAGAATCTTTTATTTCTTTTGTTGCAACAGCTTTCAAGAGAGCATTGGATTTAAGTCAAGATTGTCACCTATCAACAAAGTGAGTGGGACATACACACACACATACACGTACACACATAGACACTGTTTCTGTAGGAAAAGCATCCAATCCACAGAAACTAGCATACAAATAAGTCCTAGCATCTAGCCCATTTAACATGGAAATTTTGTAATTTTACAAAAATTTTAATTATCTCTAATTCTACTCTTACATCATATTTTTGGTATTTTCCCCCTTATATACAGTACATTTCTTTCTCTAGTTACCACCCTCCCCCCGCTCTTAGTTATTTCAATATTTGAAATTAGTTGGGACTTTTACTCTGAGGGCACAGACCAGGCTTTGGAAGGGCCTTATAGGATAATTAATCAAGTCTCCCTCTGGGTGTTCAAATTTTCTTCAGATATCATAGGCTTTCCAGTCAGGCAGGTCTACTACTGAGCTGAATGACACGTGTCAAGTGACTTAATGCCCCTGAGTTTATTTCCTCAGGTATAAAATGGAAATGAATAAAGTCTACCTTGAAGGGACATTATAAAGTTCCAATAAGATGAGGTATTTAAAAGTACTAAGATCCTTCTAAACAGAGTCTCCTGTGATTGTACAGGTCACATGTTCATGAAAGCAGCTCTGATTCAGAGTTATCTGCCAAAACTGCATAAACTAGTTTTTAAAAATCTTTCTAAAAATTGAAAGGTAAACAATAATAAGCCTGAAATTTATATTGTATGTGTGCATCTTTATCTGTCCTTCCTTCCACCATTCCTACAAAAGCTGGAGACACAGCTATATATAGGACACTTTTGTTAACTAAATAAGAGTACAAACAGAAAGCACATATGGTAAAAATAAAAATATTTTTCCTTTCAAAAAATAACAGTACCTACACTAAAAGCTTTGAATGAAGCAACTGCTTGATTTTCCCCTATCAGTTCTCAAATGGGGGCGCTTTTGTTCTCCCGGGATTACCTGGCAAGGATGGGGGAAGTTTTAGGTCATCACCGTTGGGAGAGGTGCTGGTGGCATCTAGTGGGTTAAAAGCCAGGGATGCTGCTCAGTACCTCACAATTCACAGACAGCCCCCACCACAGTGAGTGATCCCGCTGCAGATGTGAGTAGTGCTTTGTTAAGAAATCTTGATCTAGCTTTCACGTGAAAAATGTTCATGATGGGAAACTACCCCCTAGTGAGGGTAGTCACTAAATCATTGGAGAGTTACATAAGAAATCGATTGATTAAGGTGAAGCAAAACCTGTAACTTCCGTTCACTAGCCAAGATTGTGTTTTGTGGCAGAACCCAAATTGGTCCCCCTTCCATGTGACAGTTCTTCCAAAGCTGAACGATGGCCGCTTTCCCTCCTCAAAGCCCACAGGCATATAGAGGCATCCAGGATGCCCTGAAACAGGTGAGAATAAAGCCCCAACTGTTTAGCTGCATCTGAACATTTTATTTCTAGTTTTTCTATAAGTTTAAGAGTTCTAGAAGAGTTTAAATAAACCCACCTGGACATGAGATTTGTCTGTAAATAAAGGTATGAGCCCATTGCTCAGGGTGTATATTCTTTTACCTCTTTCTTTCTTGCTCACCGTAAAAAGACAGCACAACTAACATTTTGTTTGTTATACATCCCCTCCATAAACTCAAAGGTGTGCTACTGCA